ATTGATTCTGAAAGAAGTTATGGCAGGGCCCGCGAAGGCCCGGCAAAGGCTCGGATTACAAGTATGGTAAAACCTGAAATAGAAGAGCCCCTAACTTTCAACGTTGAGACAATTTATTTCGGTTTCTGTGAAAGCTATAAAAAATTGTCAACTGATAAATTATTTATCACAATATCACTAACATTTTATCTGTGAACACATTTTTGATATCTCTTATAGGAGCCGAGATAATTGAGCTCAAATTGTATGATGTGGGAGCCGTTCTATTAGAGGTTTTACGGTAGCTCTTCGTTTATAAATGTCTTGTTCTGAAACTTTGAACGTAGTTGTCTAGATCTGTTTTTTCAGTTTTATTGCTCTAGAGAATATAATTGAAATGTTATCAGAACTTTGCCTCAAAACAAATACTTTCCCTTCTGATTCTCTGAATTCGTTAAGATAGACATTGTTCTAAGTAAAGTTGGTGTACAGTGAAATTTTTATTGCATTTTTTGTGGAAAATTAAATTCAAAAAATAACTTTATTGAGAACATTTTTTTCTTGATTTTCGATGTTTTTTTAGAAGTTTTTTGTTAACCCAAGAATATCTTAAGCACTTTTTTAAAACATATCATACATATAATGTCCTTTTTTGTGAACCTACCGTAATACCTGTAACAGAAGGTCTCATTTTGTCAAGTTTCACGGTGTTTTTTTCGGGGCGTTAAAAAAAAATTTTTGAATTTGCGCACTTTTTTTTTGGTATGCAGGCTACCGTTCGTAGCGACTCGGCCGTTCAAATTAAAGCATGCGCGTTGATACTCAGCGCGCTCATCTACGGTATTTGCGTTAGAGAGCATTTACTTTACGTCCTGAAAAAACACCGTGAAGTTTGAGCTAAATTATCTCAATTCTCATGTAAGATATAAAATAGTGTCAGCTGACAAAACACTTCTGATATTATGATAAACATTTTATTAGTTGATAACTTTTTTGTATCTCTGACAGGAACCGAGATATATGGATTCAAAGTTTGAACTTAAAGGGCCCTTCTATTACAGGTTTTACGGTAAATGATTTTCTGCATAAAATAAAACAATAAAAATTTTTCGTCTTGTATTCTGCTAGAACTATGCGACTGGTCTGCAGAACTTATGCAGCTGGAAATGCTGGAAATATCCCTCCGGCTGCTCGTTCGACATCAACTCCAACTCAAAATAGAAAATCTGAAAACAAGATTAGTCTGATTGAAATTTTTACTTTTCAAATTTCTACTTCAAATTTTGACATAATAGAATATGAGTTCTAGCACTTTTGATTTTTTTTTCTCCTAATCTAAATCCGAATCTCCAGATTACTACTATTAAAGCCATTGATGTGATAATCTATCATCATCATGGTTCGAAGTGTTCAAATTATATTATTCTGAACACCAGAATACATTGAATCTAATCAAGTTTAGCATTCAGAATTCAGCTTCAGAACCAACCACGTCATGTCAGAAATTCACAAAAAAAAAAACAAGAATACATCTGAACAATTATCCCTTTATTTTTCTCGAATTTAAATTTCAACCACCAGAATTCGAGTAAACCCAAAGAACCCTGTTGTGCTTATTTTTGTCCCCACACATTCATATATTTTTCATCTTTCTACAAACAGATACTACTAGTAGTTGTGGTCATTTCATAAAATTAGTGTCGCCTATTGAGATAAGTGTCTATACTACTCCCACATATGGGGAATGTATTCAGAAGAGAAAGGAAGGATACTAGGAATGTTAATTTTGTTTTGACTTCTTCTCCGTTTCTGAATACTTATCCTCTTGAATTCCTGCGTCATGGATGCACTCGGCTGACCACTTGATTACCTTTTACTACTACTTTTCACTAAATTGACTGACTCATCAAGTGGTAGCGTCACATGGTTTCTCTTTCTCAACATTACCGAAATTAGAAAAAGTAATTAAATAAACGAGTTTGCAAACTCAGATGTTTTAGGTCTCGTAGATTGTCAGATATTCACATTTCTATGTTGAAGCATTTTTCAGTAAGTTTGGACTGATTTAAGCCTATTTTAAGCCATTTGTTCAATAATTTTGGTTCATTTCAAGCCTATTTTTCAGCCAGTTGCTACAATGTTAAATTATTTAAGACCTATTTTAGTCATTTTTCAGAAATTTCTGCTTGTTTTCAGTCATTTTTTCCAGCAAGCTTGGACCACGCCAAGCTTGTTCGGATGTATAGCCTACTTTTCAAGCCTTTTTTAATTTCGAGACTTTTTTTGGTTAATTTCAAGCCTATTTTCAGTCATTTTTCAAAACATTTAGCCTATTTCAGCCTGTTTAGACTTCAGCCTTTTTCAGTTTAAACTATTTGCAGCCTATTTCAGATTTATTCCTTTTTTAAATCTAATTTATAAACAATTTTTTCAAACATTTGGAATCATTCTAAAACTGTTTGTCAGCCTATTTTAAGCGAATGATCCAAAATAATTTTGGATCATTTAAACCTATTTTCTAGCCATTTTTTTCAAGTATTTTAGATATTTTTTGTCATTTCTCAGAATTTTTTGCCTATATACAGTCATTTTTTCAACAATTTTGGGTAGTTATAAATCTATTTCTTACAGTGACTTTTATAGATTTTCCATCTTCCAAATGCGAGATTACTGTAATCAAAAAACATTTTTCGTCGTTTTGAGCTATGAATTATTGTATTGAGCAATTTCGTTTAAATCAACGGTCTGGGCATTTTTCAACAATTGACAGATTCCTTCTCTAAAATTTCCTTCGTTCCTTATAAATTGTCTCATTAAAAACACTAAATTCTTTTTAAAACCATTTTCAAAATATCCTTCCGGATCGAAACCTGAATGACGTTTCAAAGCCTAAACGGTTTCGAGACTTTCAAAATATTACCCCTGAAAGGTTTTTAAAGGTCCGGAACTGGGTCCATTATTCTACCCTGAATCATATATTTTTTTTAATAGTAGATTTTAGTCTTTTCGATTTCATGAAATTTTCTGTTCATTTTGTTTTTTCTTCCAGGTTCCATTATTTTGTTAGTTTCGACCCAAAAACCCATCTAATTAGATTATTGCTCCGTCTTCTTTTTTTTTTTTGCATCCTTCCAGACTATAACTTGTCAATTCCTCGTTTTCAGATACTTGTTCCCATCTGAGAGAACACCTCGTTTCGGATTCAGTCACGCGTTCATTTTAATTTTTTCTCCTTCTCCGCGGAGCACAATCTTTTTTATTAAACTGAAAAACAGAGCATCGTATTGCTCTCCGCGAGATTCTCTCATCACATCATCCAAGTTCAAAATTTCATAAATCCCACAGTGCTAATCCCCATTCTCGAAAAAGTATAGAAAGTGGGACTTCTTTGGATTTTGAGGGCAAATCATTAGATAATGATGACATGTGTCTGCTGGGGTAGGGAAATCTCGAAATTCGATGAATTATCATTTTGGTTTCTGAATGTTTTTGATCATTCACCTAATAAGCCTTTTTGTCTTTTGAGATTGCACTTCAAAGTTTTTCAAAAAAAAATTTTTAAACATCGAATTCTGATTATGATAAATACCCGCCTTGTCTTTTTAAAATCTCCTATTTTTCTTTTTTACCACTAAATTTCTCAGCCATTCGAATTTAGATTCTGCGGTTTTGAAGTACTACGAGTACCCACTCTCCTACCCGAAACTCCATTAAAATCTGAAACTGCTAACCCATTTCCACTTCCAAAAACTGAAACTTTTCAACGTCACACATTCTTCTCCCATAGTCTACAAAATGACGTTGCACACGAAGTCCTGAAATTAAGGTTAGTCTGTGCCTGAATCCGAAGCGGGGCAGGTGCACTAAATCTGTTTCAAGTGCTGAAAAATTAGCTTTAAAAACAACCTGATGCAGTTATCGAGATTGAACAAGTATTTATTTTATAAACTCAATTTTTACGTCAGTGACCTGATTTAAAGGTATACTTCAACCAAAAAATTATTTAAATGTTTAAAAATTTATGTATTTTCCTAATATTGTAGCGACATTTTTTAATCCGAAACCTTTGAAAATAGAAAAAAAATGGTCATTAGAGATGAGTTCCCGCGCTGTGAGATTCCTACCGTAACACTTGTAATAGAAGAGTCCCTTTACTTCTAAATTTGAGTCAATTTATCTCGGTTCCTGTTGAAGATATGAAAAGGCTGTCAACTGATAAATTGTTTATCATGATATTACGAAATCTTTATCCGTTGACACTTTTTGATATCTTGCATAGGAATTGATATAAATGAGCTCAAACTTGACAATGTGCGTGTTCTTCTATTACAGGTTTTACGGTGTTTGAGAAGTTACCTCTCTAATATTATTGCGAAAAAAATTAAAAAAAAACGCCGTTGAAGATTAAAATTTTGCTAGACAAGGTTGCGAAGAGGGACGAAGTTTTGAGTTCCCGCACAGGGAAGAATCTAGGCCACGGCGGCCGGACGCCTTTCCCTATTCGTCATCATTTTTAGCAAAAATTTCCCTTTTAACGATTTTTTGGGATTTCGAATTTTTTGAATTTTTTCGAAGAAATATTATGAAAATACATAGCTTTTTAAACATTTTAATGCATTAAAAAATGTTCAGTCGGAGCCCTCTTTTGAAAGTGTTCTTCAACTTGAATCAGCTTATTTCGATGTTTTGTATGTGGGGGAGGATATATTGAAAATCTCAAATTACCACCATTTTTCTCGTCTTATTTTTAGGACACCTCTAAAAAAAACTTTTAAAAAATCATTATTTTGGTATATACCACTTGATGATGTCACATGCCATCCCCTATCTCTTTTTCCAGTCTGCAAACTGTTTTTGCAAAATTGAATGCGTGGGCATATTGAGGAGGGCAGACCACTTAATTAGGGTTGTTTGCGAAATATAGTCACGTTTGGGGGTGGAGAATATAGGGGTCAAGAATGATGCAGATGTACAGTTATTCTGATGAGATGATGATGTCATCAGAGTCATCTTCCCTCTTTCAGACTGTTTTCACACTTGAGAATACTTTTATTCCTCCTTCGACATCAATCTTTTTTTTTCCTTTTTGTCGGCTGCAACGCCCTGAAATGTACATCAAATTTTGCAGAAATAATTATCAATCAAATCAAATTACTTCCCCGTTTACACTAATTTCACTTTTTCTTCTTTTTCTTCTCTTCTTCTCCCAATTCTTCTTCTCTTCTGTTTTGCATTTGACCGTAGGTCGTCTGTTATTCTTTAATCCACTTCAACGACGTCACAGAATGATCTACAGTAACCCTGAACGTTTTTGAATCGAAAAAAAAGTTAAGTTTGTCACAAGAACACACCAATAGGGAGAAAGGAGAATCGTTCTATTAACTTCCAAAATGTCACAAAATGAAATTTGAGAAGATGAGAAGATGAGAGAGAAGATGAGTTATTAAATTTGACTTGAAAATTGAACTATTCTGTTCTGATGAACTTTGTGTTCAAAGGTCGAGAATACCTTAGAGATAATATTAATTGGCAATTCAAGCGTATGATACCGACGTCTCCAACTGGAACGTCGTACCTTTTTGTTTCTGCTCTTCGAGCTCTAACTAGCTGATTAGCACATATCGTAAAACTCAATGGTTTTCGTTTTTTTTTGTTGCCAAAAACGGCCATAAGAGACTCCGCCCCTACGTTTGACTAATTGTAGATCACTTCCAACCCCGGTGCATTCTGCCCAATCCATCTCCAACACTTTTTCACATCATCATTGTTTGTTCACCGAATTTTAGATCGACTCATTTTTCGCGCCCCACTCGCTGGGCCTTGCTCACCCACCCACAAACCCATGTGAGGAATATTTCTGCAAAAAAGTCCTTCTCTCTCCATCTTTCATTTCGTCATCAGCTTTTTTTTGGAGTAGGGACCACTAAACTGGTTTGTGTTGACCTAATGGACATCTTCATTCTCTCTGAATCCTTCTGTTTCCCGAATTTTTTTGACGTCAGAATCTCTGATCCATTAAACAGGTCCCAATGGAGTTACTCATCTGATAAGGGAAAATAATATGAGCTCATTACAATGGATAAGGCAGGTGGTTTTGAATGGTAACATCGTTTCAATTATCGTCATTCTGTTCTGATTCCTATTCTTCTCATTATACTTTCTCACCCTCTTCTCTTTCTTTTTCGCTCCGCAAACCTAATCCCATTTGAGTCAGGGATGGGTTCGTTTAAATTAGGAAACAACACACTCTTTGTGTCTGAATAAATGCGTCATCTTTTGATAGCATCTCTAAATGTGAGGTAAGCAGTGTTTATTTGCATCCTATCCCATTCGTTTTTTACTTAAAAAAGAGACTCCGACCAAAATTTTTTATTACGTTTAAATGCCGTAAAACGTGTAATAGAAGGGTTTCCACACTGTCAAGTTTGAGCTAGTTTATCTCGGTTTCTGTAAAAGATATCTAAAATTTGTAAACTGCAAATTTGTTTATCAGAATATTTTGAGTGTTTTGTCAATTGTAACAATTTTGATATCTTGCCCAGGAGCCGAGATAGATAAGCGCAAACTTGGCAGTGTGGGGACGCTCTTCTACATATTACAGGTTTTACGGTGTTCGAAAAGTTATGTATCTTTCTTGTGAAAAACATTCAAAAAAAATCTGGAATCTCCAAAATACTCCGTCGAAGGTTTAAATTTTGCTAGCCAAGGTTGCGAAGAGGAACGAGGATTTGAGTTCCCGCACAGTGAACCTAGGCCCCGACTGGGACGTCTTTTTTACATGGCACTTGTTCCGGATTTTTTCCACTTTCATCTATGTGAAAATCGTTAACAAAATGACTTAACAGAAAGGAGTCCCGCCACCGTGGCCTAAGTTTCTCACTGCGCCGGATTTCAACTCCTCGTCAATCTTCGCCTTTCTTTAAAATTTTTTAACTGATTTTTAACTTCTCGAGGATTTCGGATTTTTGAAAAATTCTTTCGAAGTAATATTATGAAAAAACATAACTTTAGGAACATTTTTGTGCTATAAAATTTTTCGTCGAACCCCTCCTCGCTTTAAAACTAAGCATCCGCTTTTTTTTGATATCCAAATCAGAATATAAGAATATTTATCAAAATACAGAATATTTGCACCAATTTAAGATCTCAAAGGAAGTTCGCATTTTGTTCTCGTTCTCCGTTTCGTGATTTTTTGATCGGATAGGTTTTCCGGGATAAACTGGATCTGCTCGTCTAATCGGATGCATATCATATTATCCAGACCAGCAACGTTTGCAGAGTTTCCATAGTTTTCTTTGATCAATCTTTGTGTGGGAGTTCTAAACATCATAGGACCACACAATATTTTGGAATCATCTTGTTCCTACAAAAAACATCAAGAAGATTCCAAAATGCTCATCTTTGTTCCTCTCTGCATTTTCTTGTTGACGAACACACGAAACCACAAACCTCAGCTTGATATTTTCTCTGCCCACCTCAAAAACCTCCGCTTTCCTCCAGACACATCTATTCAGTTACAGTTCAATGCACTTCCTATTTATATACCTATTTTCAGATTTTCTTCTCGCAACCTCTTTTTTGTTTCCAGAACATTTCTTTCCCTGCACCAATGCACTTTGACATTTTCTATACTTTTATTCATCCCACCACCTCATTTACATCTAAAAATAGATGGGCTAATCCGTTTTTCCTATTCTTGGAGGCTGAGCTGAACGTTGATCTACTCGATTGGAAGGAAGAAGAAGCGAGGAGAAGTTGTGAGGATTCTCTAAGCTGACGCTAAACTTTCAATTCCAAATTTCAAAAAAGGCTCCGCCCCTTTTTGTAATTCCTAGTATTATCATGTTCTAATAATTTTCAAAAGACATTTTGAGTTTGAAAATGGCACATATGCGGAGTCTCAGGGACTGGTCAAGCCTTAGTAATTCGTGTATTCTGCTCCTATTTTCTGCTACTCATTTCTGGAGGAAATAGCGTAATTTACTTCCGGTCGCAGTCTCCACGTCGTCATCCCGAATGTGGTGATGTATTCCGATATATTTGGCACTGCTCCTTTTTATCAAGTTATGGTATTAGATTGAATAATCAAATCACTAGTCTATTTTGTCTCCGACCGGCCAGCCAGATGTGTTGTTTGTCAATTTGTTGTGTCTGTGTATGAAGTGAAATTTTGAAAAAAACTGTTTAGCCAACGAAGAATCAGAAGACGTCATCATTTTTAGCGGTACTTTCAGAAAACATCTGCAAAGAAACGCTCCTCCTACTTTCTCTTGTTTCTCTTTTCCCCCATGTCCTCAGACGATTATGTTTCTTTTCTTTTCTCTTCCTCTTCTTACCAGAACTTCAAAATATCAAGTTTTCAGGTACCATACAGGTGTGTTCAAATGAGCAGCACATTTAATCACTTCTCGATTCAATTTGTGTTAATTGTCTTATTACTTACACAATTGATTTCCTCCAGTCCTTTGTTGGTAGTAAGGAGAGTGCAGCCATCGTATTACCAGGTTAGCTTGATTATCAGAATAGGATTCGTAGGCTTCCTGGATCATCGTCCTATAAGATTTCCCTATCCTAAGAACTGGATCTTTGCCCTGACTTTTTTTTTCGAATCTTAGATCCTTTTTCAAGATCTTCCAGGACTCACACTATATCTTTTCCAATTTCAGACAATACAACAGCTAGAAAAAATGATAGACCACGAACAAGTATTGCGAAGGCATCGGAAGAGCATACCAGATGAATATTTCACCGAGTTTTCAGCCCTGGAACTTTTGGACCGACACAGAAGGGGGCAGCCGATTTCTGACTATACAGATGAATTCAGTGCGGATCCTTTTGAGGTATGTTTGAAATCTCAGTGAACTTTGACATAGAATGTCGTCAGAATTCCTGATTTTGCAAGAAAGTCGTATAGTTCAGCTGTTTATTTTTATGAAATCAAACAGATACGAGTAACTCAAAAATCATGCTGAAATATCAGCAGCTGCCAGACTAGCGAAACCACGTGGTCTCCGATTTCTATAGTATTCGGGACCAACAGATTAGAGTGAAGCCTTAGAACTTTAAAACTTTCTTCCGGAATGTTCAGACATCATCATCCAATTCAAAGATTTAAAGGGGGACTCCGACCAAAAATTTTTATTGCATTAAAATGTGTTAAAAGTTATCTATTTTCCGAATACTATTGCGAAAAAATTCAAAAAAAATCCGAAATTCCCAAAAAACGCCGTTGAAAAGGAAGAAAATTCAAAAAAAAAGGTGCCGGGGGACGAGGATTTTCAGTGAGAAACCTAGGCCACGGCAGCGGGCGCCTTTCCTATGTGGCAAATTTCCCGCATTTTTTTC